AGTATTTTTACTCTTAAAATAATATATTTAGATAAAATGAACTTGAAATAAGACAATACAATTGTGTTTTCTTATTTTAAATGTAAATTGTCTTGTTCCATTGGCAAAATGTCTATTTTTTACTTATTAAAAAAAATTTACTTATATAGATTTAGATTTTTTTCTTGTGTATTTTTTTAACTGGATTAAGTAGATATAAATAGAATCATGTTAGAAAGTTTCTGTGTTTTTTACTTAATCATTATGAATGTGCACTATTACCACTAACAACCTTTTCTTTCTTTTATTTTAATAAACAAAAACCTTCCCTCTTAAGTGGGATATTGCCTCTGACAGCATGCATCTGACCTTTCTCTATGCTCCTCTGTGCAGAAATGAAACCTACTGTGTTACTGGGAGCATCACGTTGCATGTATACGAGTCATCCTCTGTGGACATAGAGAAGCTGTCCTATCCATGGCCTGCCTTAGTGGGAGAGGATGTGGAATTTAACTGTCCCTCTCTGGAATCTTTCAACCAGACAGGCAGACCAATCCAGTGGTACAAGGTGAGGAAATGAACCTTACAGTTGGGATTTCTCTGTTATTTAATGTAGAGGCTGATCTACAGCTAACAGCATCTTATTACAGGACTCCAACCCCACTCCTCTGCAGCCAGGCAGAGCTACCCTGATGATCCCTGCTGTAAAGCGCTCCCATGCAGGAGTTTACACCTGTCAGCTAACGGCGCTCATTCACAACCAGCAGTACAAAGTCAGCAGAGCCTTCCTGCTTCATGTAAAAGGTTGGTGTTGTGCAATTTCATTTCTAAGCTCTAGAACTCATTAAAATGTTCACCTTTGTATAGACTTATAATGGATATTTCACTGAACAATACATAATTTAATCAATTCATTATATTGAATTATATTTGTAGTTAATTTAAAGTGACAGTTATTCTGTAGATAAAAAGATTTCTCATTAAGTTTATCTTGAGTTAATTAAATAATCATGTCTGATCCGGTGGTTTAATCAGTGAAAAAGAACAAGCGTGCCCTGCCCTCTGCTGGCTAAACAGACACATTAATTTGGCACAACTTTTTAAAGAAGCATAAAGGAACCTCTGCAGAATAGTTTATACTACCACTACTTTTAAAAATGTTTTCACAATACACCCATAAACTTAAATCTATCTCAAATAGATTGATATAAACATATCAATGGAGCAGAATAAACAAGAAATTTTACATGTATTGCACTGTAACAACCACCTAGAAAACTCACCTGAATACTTGAGTGTAACGGTGATCATTAAAATCTAGTATGAAACAAATGCTCTGTAAAACCCTGAAATGTATTTTAGGGAACATTAGTCATTGGAGTAAAGTGTTGGAGAGTTTTAAAACAGTTTATGTTATAAGACTTTGTATCTTCAAACTGTGGATATAAAAACTGTTTAAATTTGATATCTTAAATAGCACTGTTTGACTGAATCTGTTGATATGGCTGAAAAAATCTTCCATTGTGGAAAAGTAGCAGCACTGTCCTAATTAAACTCCATTGCATTTTTTTCATAAATGTTGAAGTAAATACAGTAAGCATGTTAGAAACATCCTGAGCACACCGTGTTGTGGCAAGGCTGCCATCACTGCAAAAAAACAGAAGAAAAATACAATGTTTTTAGATGCGATAAAAGAGAAAGAGATTTAGTTCCCTAAGAAATTAAAGATGAACTTAATTTACAGAAAGAGCTTAAATACACACCCGCATGTAAGAATGGCCTAGGCAAGATTTAATTTAGTATTAAAATCTAATTTAGAATATTGACCAAAACTTCAAAATAGAAGTTCTTGGATACTCTCAGTCTAGTCTGACTAAGCTTGGTCTGTTTTCAAGGTGCCAGATGGTGCAGATCTGTTAGAAGTGACTCAGATTCAGCAGTAGTAGCAGCATAGGGTTGTTCTAAAGGGTTGTTGTAAAGTGCCTTAAGATGACATGTGTTGTGAATTGGAGATCGTCTGTTTTTTGGAGATCGGCCTGATTTCCAGTGTAGTCCTGTTTCTCTGACTGTGACTAACTGGATGTGCTCTCTTCATCCTCTGACACGGGAGTTGGCTTGGAGCTCGTCTGCCTGGCTGTGTGTTTCCTGGATGGGGCCGCCTTTTACAGCTGCTTTTTGTATCTCTGCTTCTGTCTCCTTGAACCCCAGTCGGCCTCAGCAGATGGCCGCTCACACTGAGCCTGGTTCTGCTGGAGGTTTCTTCCTGTTAAAAGGGAGTTTTTCCTCTCCACTTTCACTACAAGCATGCTTAGTCTGAGGGATTGCCTTTAAGTCAATGAGTCGATGCAATCAACTGGTTTTCCTCAGATAGAAAACTTTGAATCAATTTGACTGGATGATCTGATTAACTGTAAAGTGCCTTGAGATGACTTGTGTTGTGAATTTGCGCTATAGAAATAAGTTGAATTGAATTGGTGCTATATATAAAATGAATTTAAATGATTTCTATAAAGAGAAAACTAAGAGTATAGAAATATGCTCTTGATCTTTTACACGTTTTGTAAAAACGGCTGAAAACAGGTGTAATCTTCTTAAAAATCACAATTTTCCATCACACAGAGTTGGTCCGTCCCATAACTAGCTATAAAAATGTGATATTTGAGGTTTCCTTTTGCAAGGAGCAATTCTTATTTAAAGGTTTTACTGTCAGAATGAATGTCTCATTTGGGTTCTTATTCTGGATGCAGACCCTGCAATCACTACCTCTGTGCCTGATGTCAGCACACCATCAGAACCAGCTCAGCCCAGCAGTAGAACTCCCAGTACCACCAGTGGTGAGTCATCTTTGATTTCTGCAACCCTTTAGTAATCCAGCTTCCTATTGAAAGTATTCAAATTAGACGTATCTGATAAATTAAAATTTTTTTTACCCTAACTGCAGTAATAAAGCCACCAGTAATTATCTCGCCGCGTAATGGAACCATCTTTGAAGGCCCGCATGGTACGTGGTAATAATTACATCACAATGCAATGTTTCCTGGAAATATGCTCTGATTTTATATATTAGCAATGCTCCAATATAGATTTTCTTCTGTTTCACCATCTAGGTTCAAGCCTGGAGCTCTTCTGTCAGGTGCTCACTGAATGTCCACTGGCAGACTCAACTGTGGTCACATGGCTGGTAAACAGCCAATCAGTGGAGTCATCATACCTTGAAAGACGGGCTCTGCAGGGAGGAAGAAGGTAACTATTGTCTCTGAACCAAAGTGTAAAACAAGACCAAGGTGTAACCTAGATATGAATGGGGGCATTGTACTAAAATGCTAATATCTCTCTAACTTGCAAACTGTTTTGATAATTTCATAAAAAATATCAGAAATACCAGTATGCTTTTTAAAATGCTAATATAAACCCTTGTTTTTAAACATTAACATGGTGTTAAAATGTTAAAAATGTAAAATAAATGAGCAGTTACACTGGAAAAACTGCCCTATTGATAATAATACACCCGTTATAGCAAGTTTGCTGATACAATCGTGAATCAACAGTGAACTGATTGATTCAGCTCCGACTTTTTTAACAGAGTGAATAATGCATGCAGTTATAGTTAAAAAAATTAAAGTAAAAAAACAGGAGTATTAACCCATCACTAATTTCTAAATCTTAACTAAATTCTTAGGTTGAAGATAAAACTAAATAAAAGTCAACCCTTTGCCAACTACTTAGACTTACCTTCTCTTGGTTGGTCACACATTTTGACCCACTGTTACATAAAGAATACCCAACTTCTGTGATAAAACCATAAACTTAGCATTACTTATAGCTTAATGATATTACCGATTCTGAAAGACAAAAAGACTTCATAATAATAAGATAAAAGTTATGATTTCCAAAGGATAAGAAAAAGTTGAAAACAAATATATCTTAAACAAGATTAAATTCCATTACAATAAATAAGTACACTCACCGGCCACTTTATTAGGTACTCCATGCTAGTAACGGGTTGGACCCCCTTTTGCCTTCAGAACTGCCTCAATTCTTGGTGGCATAGATTCAACAAGGTGCTGGAAGCATTCCTCAGGGAGTTTGGTCCATATTGACATGATGGCATCACACAGTTGC